TTCCCAAGCTCCTGAAGAAGCCAAAAGTCCAGCTCACCTGATCATCTCAAATAATGCCAGCCGCAGCAGCAGCTCCGTCGGCTACCCGCAATGTTCACACCTCTATTTTGTTTAAATTATATTGTTGTTTGAACTATAAATACAAAAAACAAAAATTAAAATTATAGGGACTGTAATAAAATATTTAAAACCTATAAAACTGTATGTTTTAATTTTTTTTACTAATAATTTTAAATCTTTGTTCCTTCTTTAGTTTTTAACTATGATAATATCATATTTAGTGCTAGCATAGACGACTTTGGATTGGTTATAATTTCTATTTGCACTAAAAGATCAAATTGAAAGTAAAATAATTATAGAGATCAAAACAAAAAATTTAATTTTTTTCATTTTAATCTCTATATTTTTAAATATTTTAATTTAATCCTAAAAGTATAGAAAAAATTAAAATAAAGTTACCGATAATTAAATCAACTTGAAATATCTCTATATAAAATGATGTAAAATGAAAAAGGTAGAGAGAAAACGACAACAAAGTCTGAAAAAAGATAACTTATTTTATGAACCCTTCTAATCGTGTAAGATATGAATCCAACCAATAAAATTAAAACATGTTAGTATTTTTTTTCTTAACCATCATTATTTTAGATTTAATTTTTTATTGTTTATTTCTTTCCATAACATCATTAATGTCGAAAAGGTCTTTCGAAAAGGGAAAAGGAGACTTCGTTTCGAAATAATTTTTAATGATCTGTTAACGATAAAACGTAATTCAAGGAGTCGTCACTAATCTTTGATTAGGGTGTGATTTTGGTACCCAAAAACGTAATTTTGTCATTTTAATAAAAATATTAATTTTAATTAAAATAACAAATTTGCGGTATGTGTTACCAAAATTCGAGATCGGGAGTCGGTTACGTGTGAGGAATGATTAGCACTCTCATAGCGCCCTAAATTGGTACCTAGTCGATTAATTAATTGTCTTTGCAATGAAATTTACGAATTCGAGTTTAATTTAATTTAAGATCCCATAAAAATACTCTTTGAATTTTAAGACGAAATACAATAATATTTAATTATTTCCTATCGAGAAGATTCAACCTCTCAGACCTTAAAGCAGTCGATTCTTACCTAATCGAAATAAAGGAATATTACAATTTCATCCCCAAATGCAACATTAATTCCAAGTTTAAATGCACAAATAAAAATAAATTTAAGATGACAATAAAACAATCTTTGAATTTTACGAGGGAAAAAGGAAATATTTAATTATCTTCTATCGAGAAGAAACGACCTCTCATGCCTTAAAACACTTATTCCTTACTCCAATCAAAGTAAATAAATATTACTATTCCCTTCTAAAATTAAATATTAATCCGAGAGAAAACAACAATATCTAATTATTTCAAATCGAGAATAAATGACATCTCATGCCTTAAAGCAATCATTTATTACTCCAATTGAAACGAAAATATATTACTATTTCGTCTTGAAATTTAATATTAATTCGAATGTTGCTCATTTTGAGAACATGAAAAGGCATGCAAAAATAAAAATGAAACAAATTAAAAGCATACATCAAGCAAGTACAAGTAATTATTTATTTTACTAACATTTAACGAGAATAAGAATGTTCAATTACATAAATACATCGATACCTTAGATTCGATCTAACAGTCTCTTCTCAGTAAATTTAATTAAAAGAACATGATCTTTTTCTCGGTCTCAAATTTTAAAATGTAACCAATTTTATTCGTGTCACTTAATAGGATAAGCTTTCATTTTAAAATTATCGAAAGTAACTTTTTTATACGTTAAGACATTCACTTCACAATAATCTTAAAATGAACGAATATTACCCTTAGTTAAATTATTTGAATCGAGTCGAGTTTAGTTAAATTATTTGAATCGAGTTAGGAACTGCTTATGAGGTTTCCATGCAAACTAATTTAAAATAGAACCTAAGCCAGTATGCACCAAATTACTCATTTATATACGTAACGTGCATAAAAATAATAATACAATTAAAAATATACATATATACAATATTATTTATTAAAGTATATTACACTTAAATAACAAAAATTTATAATATAGCACACATGTATAAATTTAAAAATAATTAACACATAATAATTTTTTATGCTTACACATCTATTTACATATATATTTTAACTTAGGATAGAATAATTATAATATATCCATAAAATACCAAATATATGTATATATATGTATGTATGTATGTATATAATATGGCAGACAGGTCCGGTGACTTATGAAGAGTGATGTACCACCACCTGGAAACGAACCAAGTGGGAAAGTGAAGGCAGTAGCCGATGAGGTCGCCCGTAATATTGAGAGTGGGCTTCATATTGCCGGGGAAGGGAAAACCGGAGAGAAGGATAAGGCAACTGATGCCTGACATGGTATTAAAATTGTTCACAGCATTCAACAAGTGTCTGTTTCAGCTTGTGTTAGTCTCTCGGCATCTTTCATGTTCGTGTTTTTATAGCCAAATGAAATAATCGATTAATTTCTTCTTCTTCATTTCACTTTTCCTTTAAAGAGGCCTACTATAAAAATAGACCAATTTATGAAATTTCTTGTCTAGATAAAAATGAAGAAAGTTCGATGTTTGAAATATTAAAAAATATATACATATTTATTATGGTTTTGAAAAATCCCTGACGCATAAAAAATAACCCTTTTGAAAGTTAAAATTTAATTTGAAATAGAATACTTAAAAAATAATCACTAAACTATTTAAAAATAATACCTTAGATATTAAGCTTTTAAAATTATAAAAAAATGGATAATAAACTATAGATTTTCTTATAAAATTAGCACTTTATATAATTAATTATTAAAGGATGACGTGAAATGAATAATAATTCATTTGCCCAATAAATGTTTAAAATTCTAACTTTGAACTTTCATATAAATATCATTTGAAAAACATAATTTATTTTAAAATTATAGATTTAAGAAATGTTTTTACAAATCATAAAATTTAACTATTGCTTCTTTGCAACTCTAGCTCTTCTCCCTCAACTACAACTCCAAAACATAACTGACAATCACAAAAATAAATACTCAACAACTGTAGGTACAGTTGGATAAACCGGGCGCTCAGGGGCAATCCCTGCTTGTTGCATCTCACTACAGCATCTGGACTTATTCTTTCCAAGAAAGACACAAGGGACCAGGCAAGAATTTGCATCAAACATCCCACAATAATCTTGAGAAATGTCTGATACAAATTCTGGGGTGCTTGTCAGACAGAGACATAATCAAAGCAACCAACATAGACAGCCAGAAATGCACACCATTTGCAGAAAGGACAACCCTTTTGGGCTACAATCCTAACTAGACAATTCTTTAAAGGTCCATTTGAACAACATCATGCGCATCACAACTCTAAGTCCCTGGCCAAAACACTACTTTGAACCTGATTCAACCAGCAACAACCAATTTCACCTTGTTTCTTTGTTTCCTGGATAATATGTAACTAACTAAAGTTCACTACTTGTTTGTTTCTTTGAGTTCCGATAACAGGAAAAAAAATCCCAATTTCATCATTAAAGTAGAGCACTGTTTTCTTCTGACTAGTCTCACCGTTCAACCAAATGAAACCTTAGTCTCACGTTACTGAGACAAATAAATTAATGAGAAAAGTTCCGAAGACGAACAATTTATTTACAATCAAAATTCAAGACCTAACCTACCCCAAGGCTCTGCTTGGTAGGGTGGAAAGAAAGTTGGAAGGATGAAAAAATAGAGGGGTAGAAAAGCAGAAAGATGGAAAATTAAGTTTTTTCTTGTATGGCTTGGTAGGCCTGATGGAAAAATGGAAAGAAAATGCAATTTTCTTTCCACTCATTCCCTAGTGGAGTTGAAATATGAGAGAATAAAATTAAGCTTTAAAAAGAACATATTTTGAACTAACTCATCTCTGTCTCACACATTTTCTCTCATCTTTTCCTTCCAAATTGGAATGATTTGTTTACACGTGAAATGGAAAATTATTATTACTCTCACTTTCTTTCCCCTCACTTTTATTTCCTACCAAACACACAATTTATTTTCTTTTCACATTCCCACTTTCCTCCTTCCATTTTTCCATTCAACCAAGCAAAAAACCTAAATGTCCATGCTAATGTACACATGGAAGAATCAATGCCCACCACTACATTTACATATAAACAAAACCTTAGCCCTACATATGCACTAAATGTCCCAAAAGTAAAACGATGTAAAATCCTTATCCTCAATTGCAGCATTAACAGATGTAAAATACCAAATAGCAAACAAGACTTACCCATTCAAAGGAACCTACCTAGAACCAGAGGATAAAACTGAAACAACTCTTCCAGTCCATGCTGCGTGCCTTATTCTGTCTTCTCAGAGCATCAACTACCATACATGATTTGGGAAAAAATAAAATGTTAGCCACAGCATGAATTCTCTTCAATTGTAGATGATATAAACTGAAGCACCTCTTTCAGTCCATGGCTGCATTCAACCAAGATGAACCTGGTATATGAATATAGAAACAGACACCTCTCCTCAACAAGCCCTCCAATACACATCATGTACTTGATTACAGGAAAAGTCCGTGTTATCCACATGGATTCACATCCACTGTACATTGTTAGGGATTAAAGTACTGTAGAATTAAAGACCAGATCATAGGTTGGAACGCCGAGGCTGCATTTTGCATGGAAAAAAAAACTCTTAGATCACAACAGGATTTTTGAACCTGGTGTTCCAAAGGGGGACGCACAAGTATCCATCTATCAAAAGCAAGCAACCACCTATGAAGTAGAACAGCATTGGATCAAATGTCATCAACCATCATGTATGAACTTGTTTACACATTAAATTGATAAGAATTCAGCCTCCAAAAGGACAAAGTTGATTTTTCAGAGTTCATAGATAATATAACATATTCTTGTAAATATCAGAGCATTTAAGGTTCGAAGTCTTTGGACAAAATAGGGAGAGATCGAGAGAAAGGTTTATTAATCATCTGGCTTAAGATGTTCCATTGTTATACATACATTCTGGAGGCGCAAAAGCTTTCCAACCATTATATTAGTCCTCTTCTTAAGTCCATGTAATTTTTTTTCATACAATGCATTTGGCTTTTCCATAAGTGTCGCTGCAATATCAAATTACCTACTAACAGTAGGGCATCTGCAACAAGGGAGACAACGTCCTATACCAACAATGCCATAGATAAATCAAAATTTGAAGAATAATTTTAGAAATGATTCATACCAAAATCTAAGAGTTCGTTTAGGAATAAACCATGGCTGTTGTCCCTTGGTCAACTGCAAGAGATGACAAACTCAACCAATCATGGCTTTAGAAGCAAGGTATGGATACCTCCAACATTGGCCATGAAATATTCTGTGAAAGCATCAAGATATTTCTCAACATTAATTCCATATACTGACAAAAAAAAGCAAGTAAAACATCCATGTCCAACATCATGAGAAGATGTAGAACAGTTTCACATGCATAAAACAGCCCATATATAAAATACCAGCTAGAATCCTTGAACCCTACCCATTGAATATAGAAAAAGGTCTGTCTTAGGTTTTGAAAATGTAGGGGGAAGGGGGCAGTAAAGTACATGCATTTGAAACAGAATGTCCTCAAATTCATTTTAGGGCATCTGATACACCAACGAAAGAATACAATTCAAATTTTTGCATAAAAATGTTTCTTAACAGCTTCACTAAAGGCAATTCAGATTTTTCTATGCTGAAATTGAAGTGCATCACCGATATGCCACACATACAAAAGGCGAAAATGAAAAGCAAGTAAAAAAAATATACAAAGAACAAAAGCCTCAATCATGGAGATAGGAGAAGAAACCATAAAAGCAATTCCAAAATTGGACTTTGAAGTATCTTTACAATTATCTGCATCATTGGAGTAAAACATAACATTACTGCATTACCATGTACAAAAGGAATTCTCTAAATCTAGTAACAACTAATAAATAGCCTATTACCGTTATCTCTCAACTTTCTTAGCTCCATCAAATGTTCATCATTTGAAATATTGAGAGAACGACGTAGATTGGTCACCTTTTCTTCTTCATCCCACGTTAAAGGCCCAGAAGCATGCAATGCCCCAAGGGCTTTCTGATAGGCATGCAGTTCAGACCTATGAAGATCATATCCCAATTCCACACTAGTGGAAACGTAATTTCCTTCTTCTTGGCATCTCACATTGGAATTAGAATCAGCATCACTTCGATAATCCTCCTCTAAGTTTTCACAACCGTTAGTTACAGAATTAGGAGACAAGTTAAGACCATTATACCCTAAACCACTACAACTACCAACAGAGGATGCACAACTCATGGTATCATCAATTCTATTAAAAGAAGGCATACATCTTTCACCCAATATATTATTTGGGAATGCGTCTACCTTTTCAGAGGCAGGCGAAGGAAGCCGAATTATTATTCTTTGAACACCACTACTACCTTTCTCAAACACCCTCTGCCTTTTGCGCACCGCCATCTGAGAAGCCAATCGAAGATCTTTTCCTCTTCTTGGAACCAGTGGAATTTGACGAACCCTGAAGTCAAAAATAATAATTAAGGTAAGGATCATCAAATTCTAACATAAATAAAATGAAATAAATTGAAGAGACATATTAAACAAAAAAGGTTTTGACCTTTCCAACGAGGAACCAATTGCCATCTTCCCAAGATTGCCGAACACGCAGCCGAGATTGATGTGCTTTGAGTTGGGCAGTCGATCCAAGGATCCTAACGTAAAAGTTGTTTCCACCGAGAACCCTAACGATCACGGCCGGCTTCCAGCACAACTCATCGAATACCTCAACGACATCACCAGAAACCCAATTATCGTTCCCGTTTATAGGAGGAGGGAAAGGCCTAATCGCTTTCCTAGGAACTCTCTCCATCTCTGCCGCCTCGCCGGTCATCGGAAACCAACCGTACTTAACGATATACGTATGGCCATTTCCAGAGATAATCTCGGCACAACGCCAAGCGCCGGTCGGAACCTCCTCCTTGGTCAATACCTCAACTTTGCTGCCTTTATTCAATATCATGATCAATGAATAGGATTAGAATCAATGAAAAGGGAGATGTTGAAGAGAAACGATCCTTGATTGTTTGATAATGGAAAATTTTAGGAATTGGGCGTTGAAATTAGGGATTATATAAGGGGGGCAGGGATTTCCTAGATGAATTGCTGTTGGTGATCGAACGGTGATAAATGATTGATGAGAATGATCTGACAGTGAGGCGAGAGCGTTAGGCGGTTATGAGTACTAAAGAAGGAAGAAGTTTCCTTGCCGGTTCAGGAACAGCTGAGAATTACTTTAAGACCAAAAAAAAAAAAAACTGCGAGTGAATTACACATTTAGTATTTAAACTATTACATTTATTTCGTTTTGGTATCTAGACTTTACATTTTTTAAAATTATATATAACATTTAGTTTAAATTCCATTTTGATACCCGCCATTAAAAATTTAACAGTAATGTTGGTGTGACACCATAAGGTAATGACATGTCATCACTGAAAAATAAAAAAAAATGACACATCAACAGTTCTGTTAAATTTTAGCGATAAGGTATCAAAATAAAATCTAAATTAAATATTAAGTGTGATTTAAAAATAATAAAATTTAAATATTAAAATAAAACAAAAAATAATAATTTAAGTACTAAACATTTAGTTTAGCCATAAACTTTTAATTCGACTTGGATTTGGACTTCCACAGGCGGTTTCTTTTCTCTCTAGTTTTAGTTGATTATATTATTAGTGAGTAGCACATATAAAATTAGGGTACTACTAAAGATACCAACTTTTTCTAAACATACTAAGTTAAACCACTACCTATTATTTTAAATAATCCACCACACTAAAATTCATCATAAATAAATCTCATTGCCTATTAAATAAAACCTCATAATATTTAGAGTTTCACATGAAACATAATATTTAAATTTTAAAAACATAAAATAACATTTAACTGTTAATCTGATAAAATATGAATACCTATTGATTTTCAAGTGATTCTAGTCTTCAAATTTGTGTGTGTTTTTTAATTTAATAATTTGAAAAAAAAAATCTAGGTATCTGGGTACCCGACATACGGGTACCCGCAAAATCCAGGTACCCGATTATCGGGTACCCGAAACATCCGGGTCGGAACACGGACCGAGAAATTACCGACCAGATCTGCACACCCCCTAGCGCACATTGGTTTATGCTTGGTTTAAAAACATAAAATAACATTTAACTGTTAATCTGATAAAATATGATACCTATTGATTTTCAAGTGATAGTCTTCAAATTGTGTGTGTTTTTTAATTTAATAATTTGAAAAAAAAAATCTAGGTATCTGGGTACCCGACATACGGGTACCCGCAAAATCCAGGTACCCGATTATCGGGTACCCGAAACATCCGGGTCGGAACACGGACCGAGAAATTACCGACCCAGATCTGCACACCCCTAGCGCACATTGGTTTATGCTTGGAGTGCGCAATTCCATCTCATCCATTGATTTTTGGCCATCGTGTTATTAACCGTTAGATGATCTGACTAATGTTAGAATATAAAAGTTGCATCTGCATGAGAAACCCATATGTTAGTCGTAAGGAAGAGTTAAATATTAATAACAAAAAATATCTTCGACATTTTTATATATTTTGAGTTAAATCAAAAAAATTATGAATTGAGAATATATATATTAAAATAATAAAAAAATAGTAGGTTCTGATTTGTTTAAATTATTTCAATTTCAATTTTATTTTATTTTTGTTACATATTAATTTTATTTTTCTTTGAATTTTCAGGTATCACAAATATTTTTAATCGAATAAATTTATAGCAGATATGAGACTTTTGATCGAATAACACCCAACCCGTGCGTCACACATTAACATAACCCATTTGCCCATTTTTATTTCTTTGACACCCATACACCCTACATATTTATTAAAAAAATAATAAAGAAATAAAAATAATGCCCTCTCTTTCCTTTTCTATTATTCTATTAAAAGAATTGGTATATTTAATAAAACATTTGGTACATTTAGACACACCCTAAAATTATTTGTAATAAGCCTTGCAGTCAAATTTGTCTCCCAAGCAAAGTCTTGACTAATTCATTCAAAAATAACATAAAATAACAATTAAAAATAAAAAAATGATTTTATTTTAGGTTAAATTCATGTTGTAGATCTAATTTGTTATTTTCATCTATATAGTATTTTCGTATCAATCTAACTCTCGAAGTGGTTGAGGGGCATCATTTTAGTTCTCAAAGTCTGGTTTGACTGAGAGAACTGTTAATTTTCTTTGTCTTTGAACTCCAACAATTTCCACGTCAACCAATATTACTGACGTAGCTTGATGATGACATGACATTTATTAAAAAATAATATAATATAATATTTAAAATATTTACTAAACACAATGTTTAAAAAATACCCAAAATTTTAACATAATCTCTTAATCTTACCGAAATAAATAATAAATTTAGGATTTTTTTCTAACAATTATATTTAGTAAATATTTTAATCTAATCACTTAATCTACATATGCACAAGACTAACAGTTCTGTTAATCAAAACAGTCAACGGTATGAGATGATGCAATTAAACAACTTTGAGGGCTAAGATGATGCGCCTAAGCAACTTTAAGGACTAAATTAATACGAAAATACCATAGGGGCGAAAATAATAAATTGGGTCTACTGAAAGAAAAAAATCCTTCAACCAACAACCAGTTGGTCTAGTGGGATAAGGCATTAGATTCCTTAAGCATGATCAAGAGTTTGAACATTGACGTTTGCCAATGAAATAAACTGGGTTGGAAGGGTCGCCTCTGCAACTCTATTTGAATTAATCGGACAATAGATCAAATATCAATGATTAATTAAGGGGGAAATCCTTTAAGCCTTTTTTTTTATTGAATAGGAAGCCATGAAGTAAAGTCATGCCCTGGGTTAGTAAGTCTAGATTGTCGAATTCCAAAGTTATATAATTCACTCTTGGAATTTTCCATTTGCAAACCTGATACTTAATAGAAGAAATCAAGTATATTACAAATTGTTAGGATGTTTTTGGTGTAGAGAACTCATGTTGAATACACAAATTATCAGGAAAAAAATCAATGAATTCTTCATTCTCAAATTCCCTTCCATGATTGTTCCGAATTTGAGTGATTTTCCCTATAACATGTCTTTTTGTCATTCAATAATTTTTAAGTTATGACGGACGTCTCCCTTAAAAATCCCACATAAATTAAAGGCAAAAGGGTAATTTTTGCCCCTATAGTAGATTCAATTTATTATTTCCATCCCTATCGTATTTTTTCATCAATTTAGCTCTCGAAGTTGTTCAATTGCATCATTTTATACCCTACCCCTCACTTAAAACCTTAAATTGAGGGTTTTAAGTTAGAGATTAAGATTTAAGGTTTAGATATTATGGGGTTATGGTTTAGTGTTACCAATTTAGGATTTTAAGTTAGGGGTAGGGTATAGAATAATGCAATTAAACAACTTTGAGAGCTAAATTGATGCGAAAATACGATAGGTGCAAAAATAATAAGTGGGTCTACTACATGGGAAAAAGTTACCCTTTTACCTAAATTAACAAGAAGAATCATTTATACAAACTAAGACATATATTTTCCCTTCAATATCCTCGTTCTTCATAGGCCCAACGATGTACATATGAGTTCAAGTAGAATGTTGGTTTTGACTAATGGAAACTTAGTATGAGTTCAAGATATATCGATATCCAGACTTGGTATCAATATATATTGGTTATGATAGTATTGATACTAACTCTTGGTATCGATACTGATTATAGGTTTGAAGTTGAAAAATATTGATACTAAAAACATGGTATCAATACTTAAGTTCTCAATTTTCAAGTTTACAAATTAATCTTTAAATGTATGAGATCCATTGATTGATCAAGTGGTTAAAGATGCACATGTTATCACATCTTGTATGAATTTGAATATTGATGATATCATAAAATGTAATATATCTCTCCTTAATAAAAATAATAAATTATCATACCTTCTACCAAAAGTAAATGTTCACTAAATGAAAATGTATGAACTTGTTAGAATATTTTTATTAATTTTTGATCTTTAAAATGATTGTTTGATCAATGTATGACCAGTAAATTTAGTTTTTATTCTCGGATAATATATTTGACCCAATTTAAATTTAGGTTAGGTAGAGAGTGTTACACAACTTCACTCGACAAAAGTTATGTTGAGACATCTTGACGCTTTCAAGTGGAGGCTTCTTAATGCCCTATGATGTGATAATGGGATAATACATATTACCAAGACAAAGATATCCCAACTTTGTTGGTTGGTGTTAAGAAGAACTTATAGATGAGCGAATGCATCTCAACACTCATGATCATATTAGATGGGGCAACTCAATTTGTGGTAGCACACAATAAGTATAACAAAGGCAACTCTACGCATTGAAATTCTGCAAGTATGAGAGAGGAGTCTTTGCCTTGGTAGAAGCGAAGAGTTGGAATACCTCTCACTAGGGTAAATGACATATGGACACTCGTTAAATCACAATGGAATCACTCATATTGCTAGAGTGGAGACTCTCTATCCCTTAGGGTGGTTTTCATAAGTTGTAATCTTGGGGTGAAAACATCTTGATCCATGGTAAAGGTAACCCAATAATGTTTGGGGATGGAGGCATCTTTATTTCCCTTGGATAATATAGGCGTCTAAACTCGTCTGATCGATTAATGTGGAGACAACTCAACACATTTGGCTAAAGATAAGGTATCCACAATGTGGTGGCACAATGAAAATGTCTCAATATCAGGGCAATATGATGGAGGTCACTAACATTTCCTATGAAACATTAGTGTGGTGGTATAGAAGACGTACCTTTAGATTCAATTTTCAAACGGAAGAAAAAAAACTCTATTTTCATATGATTAGGGGGTGCTTACCATGCCACAAGATACAATGTAACCCCCTAGACCCAACCTATACGTTTTGACTAAGTCTAGCGGATTACACTAAAGATTCTTAAAGATATTTTTCCAAAAACGTTATTCGATAATTTGAATCATATTATAAGTGACATTTATAAAAGT